ACAAGTGTTTTTTCTACAGTAGGCAGTTGCTACCCATTTCCAGTGTACTCATCATCAATACTCTGCCTAAACAATCTATCAAAGAATTGTTTTGACTTGTTTTAATACAATAGCCAACTTCAATTATTATTAAAAAATTGATGATACATATAACAAAAGTAACAAATATACCACCTCTCCTGACAAAATGAGCAGCTTCCAAGAAAATGTAATAGTATCAGCAACAATTAAAGCTATTTTTTTTTACTAAGTAGTTATTTGATATGTTATTTTAAAGTTATATAAAGATTAATTCAGAAATGCTACTCATCTCTCCACAGAACTGATAGCTGTTACCTTGTGACACTGCCTAAAAGATTTTTGTGCATGTGCCAAGCCTTGAATAAGACTTCAATCTATAATGCAATCATCAATAAACCATAACCCTCCACCAGTAAAACATCCTCCATGTGCAGTAGATCCTGTGATCACTTTACCTTAGTAAAGGTAACTCCATCTTCATCCTTTGCTGAGTTTTTCTGCAGGTGTGGGACATTTTTTTTCTTGTTAAAGTTATTTTTGCTGTTGGTTTACCTTTCTGATATGATCCTCCTCCTTCTTCTTTTCCCTCTCCCATGTTATTAATGTTCATGCCAATACCTTTTTGTCTCAACTTCGTACAGTCTCAGCTACCTCATACTCCCAGACCTCAAGAATTTTATTCTAAGACATTTTGTCATGATTGTCATTCTTTACTTGAGACTTGGTCCCTTGAATCTCTTCTTCAAGCTTGGGATATTCTCCTCCTCCTCTTTTGCCTTCAATCTGCTTATCTTCATCTTGCTTTTGCTCAACTTTTTGTTATCTGTCCACTTCACCTTCTTTCAGAAGCTATGTATTGCAACCCCAACATGTTCACTGGGGAAACATTACATACACTTCTTCTCCATTATGGCTTTGATTTTCTGAAATCTTCTTCAATGTCATATTTAACCGAGTTTCTTTGTTTCTGGAATTTGCTTGGTTTGGATGCTTTTCTTTCTGGACTCACCTCCCTCAGTTTTATCTTAGTTTGTTGCCATGGTTAGGTTTTTGAGGGAGTTCCTTATCCATTGGAAACTCCAGCTGACGCAACTAATTTGGACTTTGATTTTTCCACTTTACTCCATTTAATGGGGTCTCTACAGGTTTCTCATCCTCCAAAGCCTTATAGTATCATCCCCTCCCTTGCTTCTCATTCCCTCAATACTTCTGATATCCCCCTCTCTCTCTTGGAGGGCTTGGAATCATGGATCAAGGTGGTGACTTGATTCTAACATAACCCCTAGGGTTAGGTCCTGTGGTAGCTTCACTCTCCCACTTCACACACCTGTGCACTCCCTTTTCAGAAGAACTTTGGGTCACAAAGACGCTTTTTGATGGTCTTTCCCTCTCTTTCCACATTCAACCTTTTCTTTACATCCCTTCCCCCAGTTTCCTAGTGTCTTTGGCACTTGGAGGAGGCTGTACTTTTTCTCCTGGTTATGAACACCATAGACCAAGTTCTTAACCCAAATACATGGTTTTACTTCCATCTTGTTGCCATTCCTACATAAATGGATGATTGGTGACTTATAATTGTTTTATTGTCCTTGAACCAATTTCTTATCATCTCTTTGTTCAAGATTGATGATTTTCTCAATCTGAGATGGGTTTCACTCCTGTGCTGTAAATATTTTGGATGCATTTCTTCACACTGATTATTCCTACTATCTGTCAGTTCTTTTGATTCATCCTCAATAGTTGGATTATATAGTTTGGGCTGGCTATGGGTCATGAGGGCATTCATAGTTCCCCAGTTAGACAGCAGGCATTTTATGGATTTCTCTTCCTGTTGTAACTTATCTCCTTTGACCTTGACTGATTGGGTTAAGCAGCTCATCTGGCTAGTTTATTCTTCTATGTGTGATGAAACATTTAGTCTTTTGAAAGTCTCTTCACATCAGATTCATCATCAATGGCTTCTCTTGCCTCTAGCTGTCCATATCTCCTGGATGAGATCTTGTAGGCAAAGATATGGGTGATCCTTAACATCTTTGAGTCACATTACTTATACCACTTTGTGGTTTCATCTACTTGTGGTTTTCATCTTCCTCCAGTATCCATTTTAGTTTTTGCAGAGGCTCTATGGAGATGAATTGTTAATTATTTCTATATTTTTTGCAGCTTCCACAACTACCTTATTATTCATATATATCTGTATTATAGAGACAGTGGAATCCACCATGTGGCAGGTTCTCCCTCATAGGAAATACTTCTCTCTACCAAAATACATGTCACATAGTGGATTATAGACAGTGTTTATCCCATCTGCCCCTGCTCAGTGCTAACTGTGGAGTATTTTTTTTTCTGTGGGACTGCTTCGGTAGTGTGTATACATATACACCTGGAAAAAAGTTAAGCACCCCCAAATATTTTTCAGGATTGCTTATTGAAAATAAGGTTTAATTTTCATGATGTTGAGCAATGTTCATAATTTCAAACATAATTAAAAGGATGTGAGCGTTC